CACACACACACACAGACACCACACACACACACACAGACACCACACACACACACACACACCACACACACTCACACACACACACACAGACACACACACACACAGACACCACACACACACAGACACTCACACTCACACACACACACCACACCTGGGTGATGTAGTTGCCCAAGATCCTGCTGAAAACTTTTACTCATTACTCTTGTTATTGTTTCACACACACACACACACACACACACACGAATGTAATTAAAACAAAATGAATTATCTCTTCTTTCTGGAAAAATGATTTCATTTCTTCATTACAATTGTCTTGCTAATGAGCCCTTCCCATGGTTCCTTGGGGTCATAACAAGTGACGGCTGGTGTAGCTGGAGAGGCTGTTAGACTTTGCTATGATGGTTAAGCATCCCCAAGACAGCTGGGCTGAGAGGAGAAACATTGGCAGGGGCAAGGAAGGAGCATGCTGGGCCAGGGAGTCTAAGAGCAAGACCAGACCCCAGTTTATCCCATCTTTCCACAGATGAGGCTATAGGACAGGCAGGCTCAGACAGACTGGATGATGGCCTGTGACTTTCATGCCAGGCTTGGAAATGTTCATGTACCCCCTTTAGTCAGAGGAGCATCAAAGATCACTACCTAGGGGGCTCTCCCACTACTTGCCTTAGGTGCACAGTTTTCTCTTTTCCGGGTGTTGAGATCCATTCTCTGGGGTCCGACTGACCACAGATGAGGATTAGTGACTGGCTCAGTTTGTGGCTTCTAGATCTCTATGGCTTCCATTCTTTTTTGGTTTTTCGAGACAGGGTTTCTCTGTGGCTTTGGAGGCTGTCCTGGAACTAGCTCTTGTAGACCAGGCTGGTCTCGAACTCACAGAGATCCTCCTGCCTCTGCCTCCCGAGTGCTGGGATTAAAGGAGTGCGTCACCACCACCCGGCTATGTGTAGCCCAAGCTGGCCTCAAACTCATGATCCTCCTGCCTCTGCCTCCTTCAGCAAATCCTACCGGCGTGCGCCACCACAACCAGTGGCTTCCATTCTTGTTTTAAATAAAAGATGAAAGTCCACTTGCCTCTCTTGCTGTTGCTTTTCAGTCCATGGACAAAGCCAGGGCCTCACGAGTTCAAGGCAAACTCTACCAATGAGCTGTACTTTCGGTCCCTAGTATTCCTATCTTTTTTAGTTTGGTCAGATACACCAGGGTGGCCTGGAACTCGAGATCTTCCTGCCTCAAACTTCCAGTGCTGTAATTACTGGTGGTACCATAATTCCTAGCATACATTACTCTCATAGTTTTTAGAGGTTTGTTATGTGTATGTGTGTCTGTGTCTGTGTGGCTGGGTATGTATGAGAGTGCAGGAGTCCACAGAACCCAGAGGTATTACATCCTCCTGGAACCAAGTTTTAAGCAGCTGTGAGTTGCCCAACATGGTTGCTGGCAACTGAACTCAGGTCCTCTGCAAGAGCAGATGTGTTCTTAACTGCTGAGCCATCTCTCCAGCCTATTTACTCCCATATCCTAAAGGCTGTCAAGTTGCTGTTAGCCTCTTCTTCTATTTGGTCTCTTTCCCCATGCTTTTGTTTGGAATTAACCCACAATGTTAGCTGCAGGCCAAGGTTAGCAGCCTGAGGGTCAATGATGGCAAAGGGCAGAGGGGTGTTGAGTGTGAAAAGACATCTGTGTAGGCTGATATATTTGAACACTTGGTCCCTATCTGGTGATGATGTTTGGGAAGTAAATGGGACCTTCGGGAGGTGGAGCCTCATTGGGGGAAGTGGGTCAGGGGTGGGTTTTGAGCTTCTTCTTCTTTTTTTTTTTTTTGAATTTTAAGTACAGACTTTACTGATCTAAGAGCACAAAACACTGACATTTCAAGATCAAGGTATCTGCTACCATTTGGTACGGGATTGTGGCCTATATATATCTCATTGTGCCCACAGCACTTGGAATGAAGAGTCAAGGGGTGAGGCAGGTGAGCAAGGGCTGAGGTAAGCTTGTGCAGAAGAGGCAGTGGGGGAAGAGGGCAGTTCCAACAGCAGGGGAGGAGGAAAAGTGCACAGGAGGGAGGGCTAGCTGAGGAGGACAGGACACAGACTCCCCGTTCCTCTGTGGACTTCCCTGCTTCCCAGACCTGGATGGAAAACTGAGAGGGCAGAGTCAGGGGTGCAGACCTGGAGGGGACAGCAGAGCCTGGGAACTCCCTTTCCTCCACTGTCCTCTTCCCAACAAAGAAAGCCTCACTTTACTATGCCAGGTCCCTGTACCTGAGGAAGAAGCCTGCTTGGAGCAAAATCGTTGAAAAGCAAGAGGAATGCAAAGAAGAGCTGCATTCAACCATTCACAATGGCAGAATTTATAGGCAGAAATGTAGCACTTATTTCTGTTCAGTTGTTCTTTGCAGCAGACCTTATACTTTCTAAGTAGTACTTGGCAATAATGACTTAGTGGTAAGGACAGAAATTTCTCCAGGTTTTGAGCTTTTATACCCTCCTCCACATCCTATTTGCTCTCAGCTTCCAGACTGCCCATGCCGGGGGGGGGGGGGGGGGGAACACGACAACATTCGCGCTCCTGTGCTCCTGTGTCTCCTACCACGATGGCTTACAGCCTTTCTGGAAGCGTAAGGCAAAATAAACCTTTCTCCTGGAAGTTTCTCTTTGTTGGGGTGATTTATTGCTGCAGTAGCTGCAGAAAAGCAAACAAAACAAAACCTAAGACAAGAGAATAGGGGCAGGGCTGATTATTTTGGTTCAACTTGCTAAAAATTTAAATGAGCCAGGCTGGAAGGCTGCACTAGCACAAAAACGATCAGAATTGGACAGAATTCCACACTTACCAGATAAAATCGATGTAGGCATGTTGTGTTTCTTACTTTTCTGTTGCTGTGATAAACTATCACATTCAAGGAAACTTATGGAATCAAGTTTATTTGGGCTCATGGTTCCAGAGGGTGGGAGTCTGTGCTGGTGGGAGGTGGCTGGCAAGACAGCAGGAAGCTGAGAGAACACAAAGCTGAGCAGGAACTGGTTTTAAACTCTCACAGCCCTTCCCCAGGGACATACTTTAGGCAAGGCTGCGCTTCTCCACAACCCCTCTAAACAGTGCTTCCAATGCGAGACCAAGTGTTCAGACGCCTGAGCCTATGTGGGGCAGTTCTCACTCAAACCACTGTGCACATGCTTTGTATTGGGACTCCTTGAACTCCTTCTGTGTGAGAGCCGGGGAGCTGAACGGTATGAAGGAGCCTGGAAAGCCAGAGGCATGAAGGATGAAATGCCAGGGCTCATCCATGCTATTTCTCTATCTTCTCTTTTTCACTTACAATGAAACTGCACCAGGCACCTACTAATCCTACCCTGTGATGTCATCAGAGATTCCCAAGGTGAACAGCATAGGTATGTATGCCCTAACCTCAAGGAGCTCACTGCGAGGCAGGAATGAAATCATCAAAGAGAGAACAAATATAACCTGGGGACAAGAACAAGTGCAGGCTGGTGTGAGGCGTACAGTGTGGAATCTTCCCTGAGCCAGGACAGAAGGAGGCAGGAATGTTCCAGGCGGAAGAGGACATGAGGTCCAGTTCAACAACACAGGAGGGAGAGTGACTCTCAGGAAGGCTGGAGTAGCTGCAGCCTGGGAAAGAGAGGCAGGAGAGAGAAGTGGGGAAGAAAGACGGGTCACCCCAGCAGAGGCTGGGAAGGCCACTGTGGCCTCATTTTGCAATGTCTCCTAGGCTCATCAGGGATTTTGTCTTTGACTCAAGAAGAAGACATCTTCGGTAGCAATGCAATGGCACAGTGGCATTTGCAGTCTCTCAGCAGGGTCCAGGCTAGACTCCAGGCAGGAGAGAGCGTGAGGCAGATCCAGAAGGCGGGGACATCTGAGGGCAGGTGGGAGAGCTGGAGTATGACTGGGTCCAGAGATGACAGTTTCTACAAGTTTGGATCAAAGATTCTCTCTCGGGGACAGCAAGGCAGGCTAGCAGAAGAGAGTGCTTCACCTCTGACCCCCTGGCCTCCCTTAGCAGAGTCTTATCATGCACTCGTAGAGAAGGTGGGGATGTGCTCAATGCTCACAACAGGGGAATTTAGGACTAGGAACAGCCAAGATAAGGGTATATATCAACATATGGCTGACACGGGTCAGCACCAGTGCTCTCAAGTCTAGTCCTGGGCCATCAGTGTATCAGACCTAGGCCTCAGTCCTTGTCACCCTCATGGAGGGGCTCTAAGCAGCCGGGATCTTTGGTCTCTTCTCCAGATACTGCCGGAGGGTCGGTGACTTCACTAGGGTTTCCATTCAAGACACCTCCATCAGCCTCCATCTTCTCCTTCAGGTTCCGTTTGAAGAAGCCAACCTGTCAGAAGCACACACTGAGTGGGCAGACGTCCAGGGACCAGATGCCCCTGCAAGATGTGAAGATGTCCTGTTCTGACAAATAGGGTATACCACAGTCACATGGCACCTGCATATCTTGCCTCTCAGAAGTATTTTTTTTTAAGGGGCAGTAGCTCCAGATAAAATAATTTGCCACACAAGCCTGACTACTTGAGTTTAGTCCCCAGAGCAACAGTGGAAGGAGGGAACAGGCTCCTGAGAGTTGTCCTCTGACCTCCACCTGGACACTATGGCATGCTTCCTCCACCACTCCCCAAAAATAACAGGAAAATTTTTATTTTTTCAGATTTATTTTTATTATTTTGTGTGTATGAGTATTCTGTGTGCCTGGTATGTGATGAGGTGGTGACCCTCCATATGGGTGCTGGGAATTGAACCTGGATCTTTTGCAAGAACAAGTGTTCTTAACCATTGAGCCAACTTTCCAACCCACAAATTAAAAAAAATAAAAACAAACATTTAGTCTAGGTGTGGTGGTGCACGCCTTTAATGCCAGCACTCTAGAGTCAGAGGCCGGACGATTTCTATGAGTTCAAGACAGCCTGACCTACATCAGAAGTTCCAGGCAGCCAGGGCTACATGGCGAGACCTTGTCCCCTCCATCCCCCACAAAAAAGAAGAAAATTAAAGAAATAGATATGTTTTTAAATCTTGTGAATACTAAAAGTTTTAAGTTTGGTGATTTATTCTTTAGACTCATTAGAATGCCATGTGTCAGCCAGGCCTGTTAGCCCAACATCACAGTCCCAGCCTTCAGGAGGGAAGACAGCAGGATCTTCAGCTTTAGCCATCTGGGCTACATACTGATATTCTCTTTTAAAAATGTGGGCTAATGCTGTAGTAAGCCTGTCTCAACAAACAAAACAAAACACAAGCAGGGGTTTGGAGAGCATCAGTAAAGAGTGCTGAATGCTTTTGTGGAGAACCTGGGTTCAGTTCCCAGCACCTCTCATAACTCCAGGAGATCTGACTCTCTCTTCCAACCTCCCTCTGTGGGCTCCTGCATATACAAGGTGCACACACACACACACTCACACACTCACACACATGCCCGCACACACACATACATACACACGTCACATCTTTTAAGTAGGTGATATTTTTCTTTCAGTGCTTGCCCGCACACACACACACATACACACGTCACATCTTTTAAGTAGGTGATATTTTTCTTTCAGTGCTAAGACTGGAACCCAGGGCCTTCTGCATGCCTTGCTTGCCACTGCTCTACCACAGACACGCTTAGATCTCAGTGGATCAGTTGACAGTATCTTCTAATAGGAAGAATCAATAGTGTGCTACTTAATTACGTGCTATGCGCGCTCTCCTGAAAGTTTAGAATTGTGTGTGGGCATGTGTGTGTGTGCCAGGGTCTCCACCTCTGAGAACTGTGTGTGTTCATGTGTGTGTGTGCCAGGGTCTCCACCTCTGAGAACTGTGTGTGTTCATGTGTGTGTGTGCCAGGGTCTCCACCTCTGAGAACTGTGTGTGTTCATGTGTGTGTGTGCCAGGGTCTCCACCTCTGAGAACTGTGTGTTCATGTGTGTGGGCCAGGGTCTCCATCTCAAGAATTAATTCTAACAATATTTGGATAAATGTGGAAAGTGGTAATGACAGCTGTTTTTGTCACACAGTTTAGATAGATGCAAATGAGAAACCATGGACAGTGTAGATCCTACGTGGTCCTTAATAGGGAAGTTGTTAAATAAAAGATGGAGCACTGACTGGGACAGAAAATAAGCCAAGTTCAGGAGGAGGCAGAGCTGATGGTGGCTGTGGTTGAGAGAGACAACAGGACAAGGCATTAAGTGGGAAACACAAGCCCCAACAGGCTGTGTGGCTCTACCCATTTTTGCCTCTCAACTCCTTACTATTTTTTTTTAATGTGCATTGGTGTTTTGCTTGCATGTATGTGTATGTGAAGGTGTTGGATCCTCTGGAACTTACAGACTGTTGTGAGCTGCCATGTGGGTGCTGGGAATTGAACCCCCGGGTCCTTTGGAAGAGCAGTCAGTACTTTTAACCACTGAGCCATCTCTCCAGCCCCTCTACCTTAACTTTTGAGACAGGGTCTCCATGGACACCTTGTGCCGGCCTTGAACTTGCAGAGAGTCTACCTCTGACCCCCAAATACTGGGACCGCAGGTGCGCACCATTGCATGCAGCGTCTGCTCTGAAACCCTCGAGCTTTTTCATGGAACACCTGTCCTCGGGCCCTCTTTGTCCCTAATTCTTACTTGAGTCCACATTTCAGTTCAAATGCCACCTCTTCTTGGTGGCCCTCCCAGGTCTGAGTTAGGCACCTCCATTACAGGTTGCAGAGTACACAGGCCTTGTTATAGCCTTCATTGTGCTCACGCCTGTCTGTGTCCTGTGTTTCAACTGTGAACTTTATATGAATGGGAACCATGTTTATATTAGATGTCTCTGTTTTGTGGGGCCTAGTACAGAACCTGTTACCAGAAGGTCCTCAGTATATGGGTCCCTCCTTCCTCTTTCCTCCCTCAACCTAGTCCTGGCTGGGCCAGTGTTGAGATGAGTGATGGTGAAGTCTCTCTCACTTGTTCTATCTGTAGAAAGATGGGGTGGGCTGAGGCTTTTTCTGTCTCTTATACTCCCTGGCCCACCATGTGCTTCCCTGGCCCCAGCCAGCCCCCCCCCCACTTTGCCCCAGCTGTCTTGGCGATGCTTAACCATCTGGAAGCTCCTACCTTGTAAAGTGCTAGGAAAATCAACAACAGTAGCACCAGCCCCCCAATGCCGCTGAGCACATACAGGTGCAGCATCTCCTTCTCGTAGACCACATCAACCTTCATGAGGACCTGGGGAGGAGAGCTAGGTGAGGGCAGGAAAGTCCCACCCACCCTAAAGGCCCCTGTGTGCCCAGTCCACCCCCAGTCTAATGTGTGGGTCGCATCACAGCACGCTTTCCCACAGATATGTCAGCCACCCCTCACCAGTCACTTGGCCACATGTATCATAGGCTGCCCTGAGGTCTCCTGTTGGCACCAGGAGGACACACCTCTGCTGGCACTCAAAGCCCAGAAGAACCTGCTTTCTGTGTTTAGATCCATCTTCTAGCCACACTGAATTGCCTGATCCCTGAGGCCTGGGCCTCTGTGCTCACTGCAGGGCTGGTGGCCCTTTGCTAAGGTTCCATTGCTCTGATCTTTAGCAGACAACCTGTGTCTGTAACATCTCAGAAAGTGACTCTGCGGTTGGCTTGCTTCCCAGTGAGGTGGGACCTCCTGTTTCACAAGGATTTGAATTAGAGTAGGCTCTGACTGGGGCCAAGCTTCCCTTCTCCCATGTGACCCCTCTGTATGAGCTCTGCATGGGTTCCCAAACCTCTCTGCTGTCTGTTTGCAGGCTTGCGAGGTACATACCTGGGCCATGGAGGCTTTGCTGCCATACAAGTGGAAATGCTTGCTGCTGTTGAAGGAGATGGAGAGTGAGCTGCAGAGGCTGAGCGTGGAGGAGGCCTGTGGAGGGAGGAGAATGTCAGCACAGGACTGAGACCCCAGACTTCTGCCCACTTACACAGGGAAGGAGAGGACCCAATTCTTTGCCTCCTCTTATTACTCTACTGTGATGGTCTAACATGTCACTCACTCCTCAGTGAGGAGGGGGATTTCCTAGAATTAACTACCCTTGGCAACCATGGTACATGGCTCTCACCCCAGTACTTAGGAGGCAATGGTTGGAAGATCATAAATTGGAGGCTAGTCTGGCTACATAGTGACTCAAAAGCAAACAAAGCTGGGTGTGGTGGCCCATGCCTGTAATCCCAGCACTTGGGAGGCAGAGGCAAGTGGATATCTGTGAGTTTCAGGACAGCCTGGTCTGCAGACATAGTTTCAGGCCAGTCAGATCTACAGAGTGACTACCAGTGTGATAAAAAAAAAAATCCTGTCTCAAAAAAACAAAAGAAAAGTAAACAACACCCCCCCCCCACACACACACACAAACACCCTATAAATTTCAAACAAATCCAGGTGATTTGTTGTAGTTTGTTTGCAACTATGCAGACCTGGGTGTTACTTAAGAAGAGACAAATGGAGAGAGCCCTTGTGGGAAGCCCCTCCCCACCACTCCTAAGGCAAATGGACCCTCAACACTCCTCACTGCCAACTACAAGCAGGCCCTACCTTAATTTCCTTTGCGAGTTCCACTGTCCCGGTCACTTGGATGAGGATCTCCCGCCGGAAGACAATTGGGCAGCGGAACAGAATTCCAGGTAGACAAGGCTGTTGTGGTCAAGAGCACCAGTCAGAGAGGTGCACCGTCCCCAGCTTACTGCCCACCTCCAGCCTGAGTCCTCAGCACACACACCCATACCTCATCTTCACTAGATGGCCTCTTCAGGTCCTCAGTGTGGCAAGTGACAGGAGGATCCTAGGGATTGGAGGTGGGGTCTTCAGTAGGTCTGAAGCCTCTTCCTTCCCCACAGAACTCAGACCCCCCACCCAAGATAACCCTTGTCTAACTCAGACGTCACCGAGTTCATGGAACTGTGGTCCATCCATCAATATTCCCTTCAAAAGAGTTGTTTCCCACCATGGAGCAGCTCACTTTGCCCTCTTCTGAGTGGTACTCACCATCTGTACATTCCATGTGTGTGTGATGGTGCTCTCACTGTGAGGCTGTGGCACCCCAACCAAGGCCTCCAGTGTGGGCATGTTGTGGTCATAGGCAGAAGGCTGAATCCTCACCTGGGAAAGGGTAGAGACTGAAAAGTTTGAATGGCAACTACCCCAACTACTACCCACCCTGTGTGACCCGAGGCACTGCCTGGGTGAATTCTAGAGCCTGTTGTCTTCTTCGCAGTACATAATGATGGGCCATACCTGAGCCTGCCCTAGTGCCTTCTTGCAAGTGTGGTTAAGAGGACTGGCTGCTCTTCCAAAGGACCCAGGTTCAGTTCCCAGCACCCACACGGCAATTTGCCTCCATCTAGAACTCCAGTTCCAGAGGACCAAACACCTTCTGGCCTCTGGAGGTACCAGGCGTGCAAGTGACACACAGACATACATGCAGGCAAAACACCCATACACATAAAGAAATAAAATTAAAAAAATAAAAGAAAGTGTGGTTTCGAGGACCCTTCCTTCCCCATGGGAGTTCATACCTGGTAGATATGCTGGACTTGCTGGGTCTTGGGACCTTTAGGGGTGAAACTGGTGTACAGTGTGGAGTTCTCCTGGCTGTAGAGAGAGAATTTTAGAGATGGAAGGTAGAAGAGAAACAGCCCAGACCCCAAGAAGCCTCTGAGCCCCCTGCACTGTGCTAGGAATTTCACAGGCACCTTGTCATGTGGTCCTACTAAGGCCAATAGAGAGATAGGACTGAAGCTTTGGAATTAAGGTCATACCTTGGGAGCCATGTCTTCACTACCACATGCCACCTTCATTAGTGTCTCAACACAGCTCATTGTCTAGATAACCATCTCTTCCTACGTGTCCTTCCCCTGTGCACAGCCCTCTGACTCCCACAGTTTCACCCTGCCTGCGGCTTACCTGTTCATGCCAACTGCCTTCCCACTACTCTCTTGTACACGCTGTCGGTGTTGGAGCCTGCCTCCTTGCCTTTGTCTATGCTCTGCTCGCTGTCTCCTTCCCGGCCCTCAGCTTCCTGCCTCTAGATGGAAGGCCAAGGCAACTTTCTCCATGAACCTTCCCTCTCTCCAACACCTGGACCATCTTTCATGTTAACACTACCTGGCTATGTTTAGAAGTACTGGAGGCTTGAGCTCAGACATCAGCAACGTCCTCGCCACATCCACCCAATTTCAAAAAACCACTGTGCTCTCTATATAATAACCAGAACATCCAACCAGAGACCCTTTGAGGCTGATACCACTGCAGGCTGGCGACACTGACCCCATGTGTGTGAGTCTGCTCTGACCAGATGGTAAGGGGCTGGAGGGCAAAGGCCATTCTAGAAATGTTCCTCCACATTCTTCCAGCACTATAATCCCAAGAGAGAGGGAATCTAGTGCAACTGGACACAGCCAGGTGCTTTGGAATCAGACAAACTTGAGCTTAGTCCTTCCTAGCTGCATGGCCTTGGGCAAACACCAGCCTTCACGGAACCTGTGTCCATCAGTAGGGTGCAGAGGCTCCTCACAGGGGTAAGGGAAGCTGCAGACAGAGCCTGCCACCAGTCAGCTGACAGCATGCTTCTCCACACGTGAACACTGTGGACTGACTGGATTCGCACAGAGCTCTGAAAGAGTCTCCTACTTTGGAACCCTGAAGCCTGTTGTGGTGGGGATGAGTTCTGACTGAATCTGAGAAGGAAGAGGGCTGCTGGTGGGGGGACCCTGGGTGACAAGGACACCCATGTGGGAAGACTGGGGTAGAAGGAGGGAGTGGCTGAGCTCAGTGGCACTCACTCCTCAATGAGGATGTTGACTGGGTAGAGGATGGGGATTCGCATGGTGGCTGAGTTGTCCTCCAGGAGGCTTGAGTCCTCATTTTCACTGCATGGGGCAAGGTGGGGGGACACCGTTAGAAGAGCATGGCCAGGCTTCCTGACCATCTAACCCCAGCCCCGGCATGTGGATGGGCCTGCTTACCAGTGCACAGTGCCATTCAGCTCAACAAAATCTCCCCAGGAGCTGTTGAGCAGTGTGTTAAACATCACCTGGAGGCTGACCTGGTGGGGAAACAGAGGTGAGAAGATGGAGGTGTCTCAGAGGTAACCTGGTTCCAGCTGGGTTATCAGCCCTACAGTGACTATAGAGTGTGTGCTTTCTGGCCCTGGGTAGGTCTCATCCCCACTGGATAGATGAGGAAATTGAAGCCCTGGAGGCTGAGTGAGGTGTGCAAGGCCGCAAAAGGAATTGACTCAGTCTGTCAGCCCTACAGTGACTATAGAGTGTGTGCTTTCTATGTCTCTGGCCCTGGGTAGGTCTCATCCCCACTGGATAGATGAAGAAATTGAAGCTCTGGAGGCTGAGTGAGGTGTGCAAGGCCGCAAAAGGAATTGACTCAGTCTCAGGTTTGTCTCATCCCAAATCTAGGCTCAGAGAGGCAAAACAGCTCTGGATACTACCCACTTATGTATGACAGGATAGACTCTTCCTGGCCAACTACCTGCTCCCTCCCCAGAACCAAGATCTCCTCCCTGTTTGCCAGCTCAGGCCCTGGTGGGAGAGCTGGCCAACACTCACCTGCAGGCCTGCCTTGAAGATGGGAGAGCTGACATTGCAGGCCAGTGTCTTGGTCAGGAGACGCGGCTCATAAGCCAGCTCCTGGCAGCTCACAGGAACTCTGCTGTGTGGCTGAGAATGAGGAAGCCTTTTGTGAACAAGGTCCAGGGTCCCCCAGAGGCCACTAACTCTCAGGGCTTGTAGCTCTCAGGACTGTGTTGTGCCATGACACATACTCAGAGAGGCAGGCCCAGAGAAGGAAAAGACGAAGGCATAGCTGAACCTAGCAGTGTATGTCTTCAGCTGCTGTTACTCAAGAGGCTGAGGCAGGTAGATTGCTGAACCCAAAAGTCTGAGTCCAACCTGGGCAACACTGGGATACAATATTAAACAAAACAAACCACGTAAACTGAAATAAGCCAGCTATGCAGGACACATGTGAGTCCATTGCTTTGTGCACTCTAATATTTAAATTCACAGAATAGTAAGTGAGAAGTTGGCAAGAGACCAAGAACAGGGAATGATACCTAGTGTTCAACGGGCGTTAGAGGATGCAAGAGTTCTGGAAAAATGGTTGTGTGACAATGTGACTAGAGACTCAACATTAGTGAGCTACATGCCTAGGAAGGGTTAGAATTCTAAAACTTGGGTTGGAGAGATGGCTCAGCAGTTAAGAGCACTGGCTGCTCTTGCAGAGGTCCTGAGTTCAATTCCCAGCAACCACATGATGGCTCACAATCATCCGTAATGAGATCTGGCGCCCTCTTCTGGCCTTCGGGGATACATGCAGACAGAACACTATTCACAATAAATAAATAATTCTTTAAAAAAAAAAAAATCTAAAACTTACATACATTTGCCGCTAAAAGTAAGCCAGCCAGTGGTGAGGTACACCTTTAATCCCAGCACTCAGGATTCAGAGGCAGGTAGATCTCTGTGAGTTCGAGGTTAATCTGATCTACACAGCTAGTTCCAGGACAGCCAGGGCTACATACAAAAAAATCCTGTCTGAGAAAAACAAAAAAGCGAGGAGGAGCTCCCTGCTCCCTGAATCTGGTAGCACCCCACTCTTCCATC